AGGCTCATGCTCTCCTCCTCTCCACCAAGAGGAAAGACCAGGATGGATGGAGAGAGAAACTTACTTGCATAAGGGAAAGTGGTGAAAGGACTTCATACCTAATAGCATCTGTTTTCTTGATGATAAGGATAGGGGTTCATTTTTCTGGACTGATAACTAGGTGCCAAAGTACGGACTTTAGGGGAAATGTAGAAGTTTAGAATTACTGTGCAGGGAAGATGGGAGGACCCTCTAATTGGGAAGAAGAGAAATTATTTCACTTAGTGCTTTAGAACAGTGATATTCAAACTTGAGTTGGAATCAGAATCACCCTAGAGAGCTTGTTAAAACACAGATTTCTGGGCCTAACACTGGAAATTTCTCATTCATTATATCTGGGTTGAGACCAGAGAATTTGCATTGAAAAAATAAATTTCCAGGTAATGATGATTCTGATGCCAGAGACCTGAGTGAGAGTTCTTGAATCCATTGAGTTTTCTGGCTGTATTACCATGAACAAACTCCTTGGCCACTCTATCTTGATTTCTCATCTGAAAGTTAAGGATGATAATCATAGTACCTATCTAATAAAGCTGTTATGAAAATTAAATTAGAACAGGGCCTGATAGTAACTTGGGAGAAATATGGAGTACTCAAGAATATTTGGAAATCCAAGAAGACTGGGCAGTTATTTTTTCTGGCAACTTCTTCTCTTTGCCTTACCCCTATCTCTAAGTCCAGGCCCTAAAATTGCCTTCACCTCCATCCTAGGTGCTGATTGGTTTCTAGGGATATATCTGGAAAGACCTGCTCCCTGAACCTCAGTAGTAACTCTGCCTGTAGATTCTACACTTAAGCCTATATTCACTACCTCCTCTAGCCTGCCTGGTTTGCCTTGAGCTTTCTGAGTTTTCCCATAAGAGGCCAACTTGCACCTCACTCTGAGTGGAAGCACAGCCAAAGCCCACAAAGCCCTGCTAGGGTGAGGTCTTGAGAGATGGCTGGAAAGGAATCTTAGGTCTAAACTCTCCCCTAGAGGAATCACTCTGAATCCAGACAGGCTGGAGGCACACATTGAGGAAAATGACCTTAGCTGCCGACTCCAGGCTGGTAACATTATATTAGTGAAGATAAATGGGAAAGACTGTTATCTGGAGCCCTGGAGACTGACCTGACCCTTCACTTTGATTATTAGAAAACAATTCCTTATACTGAGTATAAATCTGTCTGCCTGTACGTTCTACCCATATGGGCTCATTTTCCCCCCTTAAGATACAAATCTCATCAGTTCCTTCTACCCTGTGACAGCCCTTCAGATGTTGGCAGAAAGTGACCAAGTCCTCTTGAGTCTTCTCAAACCAAACATAGTGGTGGGTGATGGCAATGCAATGAGTGTCTGGATGTCTCACAAAGGCTAAGAAGAATAAGAATTTTAGAACCTGCTCTCTGGACACTAGATGTATCTCTTATATGATTATGAATCTTTTATACAATTGTGTACCCCTTAGTGTTGCCATTCTTTCTCCTATTATGTATTTATTAATTAATTTATTATTTATTTATTTTTGTGCCAGGCATATCATGCTGTGAATTCCTTTTGAAATTGAACTGACTTAAACAATCCTAATATTTTGCAGAAATGCTGCTTCAAAGCCCTATGGCCCTCATCCCATAAGTAGAGTTTTAGAATGAAGTATCTAAATCTTTTTCTGCATCCACAGTGATAGTTTTCTGTCCCCACAAGGCTGTCTGTAGGTGAGAAATAGCATGGTATACTAAAAAGAGATTCAGGGTTGGACTTAGAAAATTCGAGTTAAATCTCAACACCTCTGCTTAGAAATTCTGTGCTCATTTGGATGTCACATAATGTTTTATATATCCAATTTATTTTTTTTTATTTTTAAAATGGGCGTGATCATGGAAATGCTCTTGAAGGGTTAGTGAGATAACATATAAATTGCATATCTCAGTGCCCGCATATAGTACACATCCAAGAGATGGTAATTCTGCCCTTTCCAATTAGTAAATTGACATGGTAATAGTAATGGCACCTTCCTGTGGTTATAAGGATTGAATGAGATACCTGTGTAAAGAACTCTAGAGGACTATGCTACCTATTTTTTTAAAGTAATATTATTAGCATATACATGTGTAGAAAGAGTCAGAGTTGCACAGCCTTCTGGTCGGTGTGTTCAGAATTTCCAATCCTAGGCCTGAGAAGATAGGGTGTAGAGAAAACACAGGAGTTTGGCTAATTGCCTCAGTCTAAATTACATTTTCTCAGAGGAGGACTGAGTCAGGCAAAAACAAATAAAATTAGGAACTAGTGACAAGAAAATAGACTAATAAGGTTAGACTAACAATAAAAGGTAGGAAAATTAGTTAGGGGGAAAAGGTTGATAATTATAGTCCTCATTACCACTATCATTCTAACAGATCTCAGTTATTGTGTCTGGAACTGGGTTCGGAAGTCTATAAATATTCCTCTCAAATCTTCCCAGCAAGCTTGTTTCTTTCCACATTTTATAGATAGGGAAACTGAATCTCTGAGAGGTTAAAATACTTGTCTAAGATCACACAGCATTCAAATTTTAAGTGACAGATCTGGGATCCCAATTCAGACTCCAAAGCCACTCTATTGCTATGCCATGTCCTTACTCACTGGAACAAGACAGCATGATGTAACATGCTTAGAGTCAGGTACTAGTTATAGTTCGGGATTAAGCTTGTACTTGCTGTGTAACTTTGTGCAATTCAGTTAACTTGTCTGATCCAGAGTTGCCACATGTATAAAATAAGGAAAATAATACTTATAAGAGTTGTTCTGTGGTATAAATGACATTGTATGTATAAAGTGTTGTGAGGGCCCCAGCATCACCAACATTGTAGAATGAGATACTGGAGAATATCCACTGACACAATCTGAGAAAGAAGGGTTAGAGAAATAGAGGGAAACCAGGAGCCGAGTAGTATTTTCCAGCACAAGAAAGAATGTTTCCCAAAGAAAAGAGTGGCTAGCACTGGAAAAAAAACTGCAGATAAATACGAAAATGAGTGAAAATGTTCTCTAAAATCTGGCAGTATAAAAGGTCACTTGTGATCTCAGGGAAAGAACATTGGGCTGGAAGCCAGGGTGCAATAAATTGGGAAGCTAATGGAAAGTGAAGACATGGAAACAGTGAGTGGAGACTACTCTGGCCAGAAATTTGGCTGAGGAAAGAAGAGAGATGAGGCTATTATTTTAGGAGGAGGCAGTGGGGGAGATTTTATTTTGCAGTGGGAAGAATTCAAATATGTTTGTGGGGTAGAAGGGTTGGACATAAGGTGGAAGGTAAATAATAAAGATACCAGTGAGAGAGGAGTTTTAAAATGAGGCATGGTTCTACTGAAGTAGTCAAAAAGAGGAAGAGAAATATCATATGATATTGCTTATATGTGGAACCTAAAAAAAAGTATACAAATGAACTTATCTACAAAATGGAAACAGAGTTACAAATGTAGAAAACAAATTTATGGTTACCTGGAGGAAATTGGGGGAGGGATAAATTGAGAGATGGGATTGACATATATACACTACTATATACAAAACAGATAACTGATAAGGTTATAATAATAAGGTATAGCACAGGGAACTGTGCTCAACACTTTCTAATGGCTTATATGGGAAAATAATCTTAAAAAGGGTGGAAACATGCATATGTATAACTGATTCACTTTGCTGTATAGCAGTAACTAATACAACATTGTAAATCCACTATACTCCAATAAACTTCTTTGTGTGTGTGTGTGTGTGTGTGTGTGTGTGTGTGTGTGTGTGTGATACACGGGCCTCTCACTGTTGTGGCCTCTCCCATTGCGGAGCACAGGCTCCAGACGCGCAGGCTCAGCGGTCATGGCTCACGGGACAAGCCTCTCCGCGGCATGTGGGATCTTCCCGGACCGGGGCATGAACCCGTGTCCCCTGCAATGGCAGGCAGACTCTCAACCACTGCGCCACCAGGGAAGCCCCAATAAACATTTTTTAAAAATAAAAAATAAAGTTAAAAAAAAAAAGTGAGAGACATGGTTCATAGGGAGCAAGGGATGGGGAGCTCTTGAGCTCTTGAGGCTAGGGTTGTTGAAAGGCCCCTAATCCTGACCTTGAAGAATGTTCTCAACTTAGCTGGAAAGGACTTGTGTTGAAAAACTAAAAGGCAAAATAAATAAATAATAAAAGGCAGCAGGGTTGTGTCAGGTGGGAGAGTACACCCAGGCTAAAGGGTCCTCTTGCTGCCAGCTCACGTTTCTTCATCTGTAGGGCTCTTTGGCTAAGTTCAACATATTCAAAGTCTTTCTGACCTCTCCCATTTTGTCGTTTACACTTCGTTCTCTAGTTAATTTATTTATTCCTCTGCTGTGTACCAGACTCCTTCCCAGCCCTGTCACTTACTAGCTGTTTGACAATTGGGCAATCATTCTATGCCTTAGTTTTCTTATCTCTAAATTGTGAATAAAACTAGGGTAGTTATAAGGATTAAATGAGCTAATATATGTAAAATATCGAGAAGAGTGACTGGCAGATAGCAAGTGTTGCATAAGTGTTAGTTATTAAGTATTAGCTCATGATGCTTACCAATTAGTGGAAGGGAAAGGACAGACATTAAACAATCAAGGAATTTAATCAATAATTATTACAGATTACAATTCAGTGCCAGTAAGAAAATAAACAGAGTGCAGTGGACAGGGCAGGACTTGGATGAGTGAGGCTTATATGAGGAAGTGACACTGTGCCATGAAGACACCAATGCTCCCTTGACACCACAGATCTTAACTTCAGCTCCACAATCTCTCCTGCTTTCATTACCTCTCTCCCTGCTTCAGTCCCTGAAGCTTTTCAGTTCCTGCCAAAGGCGTGGCTTGGTCACTATTCACCCACTCTTCCCCAACTCCTCCCCCACTCTCACTGTCAGGGGTGAAACTTCTTTGTGTAGCCACACCTAGACACTCAAGTTGTCCAATAGCTGCTTCATGGGGGTGGAGAAGTAGGCGTAGCATGAAAGGAAAAGAGAATAGGTTCTGGCTGTTGTTGCTACACGTGGATGTGAAATGAGTCAGAGCAGAGCTTTGATTGTAACAAATTTCATCTACTGTGAGTGTAGTATGGAGACTGGGGGCTGAGAAGTGGGGGCTTGGTGGGATGTCTGGCCTGCACTGAGGTACATTTGTCAAGGAATTCCGTTACTGGAGCAAGATCCATCCATCCATTCATTTACAGGGTAAGTGTGGGAACACCATCTGGCATGGCAAGGTGGCTTAGACCTGTGGGGCATAGAAATGGGAGTTCAGGATCAGGTTAGGATGACCCTGATAAGGTGCTACAAAGTCAGAATGGCTGGGAAGGTGTCCTGTGGCTGTCTGTCTGCCCATCCATCTGTATCCAGAGAGTGCTGTGTAAGGTGCCATGGACCTGAGCTAATACCCTGATGGCCTTGGTGAGCCAGTTCCCCTGGATTAGGCTTGTACTGGACCATTATGGCCTCTGGGAACATGCCTGGACCCACCCAAACACCCTGAGTATCTCCAGTTAGGAGATAAGGAAAAGAGAAGGAGGCTAGGAGCTTAGGGGAGGGAGGGAGGAGCTGGGTCAGATTTGTGAAGCATCCCGAGGGACGTTGAGTGGCTGGCCTACCCACGTGGCCCCTGGGCAAGTCGGGGCTTGTGTAAAGAGTTTGCAAGCTCTATTTGGGGGCTTTCAGTCTCACCCACCCGGCTGGGTTTCACTTGATCCCTCACTCCTGGAAACTGAGCCCAAGGCAGTGATATTTTGATCCTGCTTTACATCAAACATTGGCCAAAAGGCTGAGGCAGCTGTGAGAACAGGGAGACAAGTAGAGACCCGCCAGAAAGTAGGCTGGGGAAGCAGAGACTGCAAGGTCTTGTTTGGACAGGTGTTGGCAGTGCTGACCAGTATCAAACCATTGCAGGGTAGCTAAGTCAGGAGAGTATGGGCATCTTCCCCTACATAACTCACCTGTCCCCTCTTTCACCCCAACATACATTCAATTCAACATAACAGACTCACTGAACACCTACTCTGTGCCACCACTGTGTGAGACAGACAGATGCCTAAGACATAGTCTATGCCCACTGGGACCTCATCATGGGTATAAGAATAAATAAATATAACACAAAATAGATTTAAAGGTCCAATTAAAGTATGCTTTGGTATTGTCAGGTAAGGATCACATCTAGTTGAGCCAGAGTAAATCAGAAAGTGTTTTTTGATTGTTTGTGTTTTGACATTGTATCATCTTTCAGGGCTCCAGAGCCAGACTACTTTAGTTCAAATCCCATCCTACCATTTATTAACTTGTGTGACATTGGACAAGCATAATTACTTTCCCCTGTCTCAATTTTGTTTTAATCTAGTCTAAAATGTATATAAAAATAGAGCTTATTTTATCAAGTTTTTGTGAGGATTAAATTAGATAATCCATGTGAAATACTTGCACACACTTAGCACAGTGGCTTGACCAAAATAAGCACTCAATAAATGTTAACTGTTATTATTATTTAAGACGGGCCATGAAACACAGATAGAATTTCAACAGGTGGAGGCAGGAGAGAAGGCATTCCAAGCCAGGAGAAAAACAGGAACAACTGTTTGGAGGCAGGGAAGCTCAAGGCATGTGAAAAGAACACCAGCTGAACTGGATTTTAGAGTACAATTATGTGGAAAGTGAAAGTTAAAGGTGACATGGTAGATAGATGAAAAACTGTGGAAGACTTTTGGATGCTAGATTTTCTGTTCAATTCGTCACACTGTGGAAAATCATTGAAAGTTTCTGAGCTAAAGAAAAAAGATAAAGCTGTGTTTCAGGAAGAATAATCTGGTAAACATGAGTTAACTGAATTGGAATAGGAAAACATGAGATGTAGATAAACTAGATGCAGAGAGGGAATGAGACCCTGAACTGAGGTGCTGACTATGGGAATAGAAAGGAGGCAATGAATTTAACAGTACATCACAGAAGTTGAATCTGAAGAACTTAGAAGTTGATAAATTACATGAGATTGAAAAGAGAGGAATATGAGAGAATCACTATCTCTTGGGATTGGTTTAGACTTTAAAAGGTTGTGTATTCCAATCCCAATTCCATCCATTTCTATGGATGGTACAAATAGAAATGATATCTACTTTCTGAGTTAGATACAGCTTATTCAAGTCCTGGGTCTTCTACTTACCTGCTGTCTGTGATCTTAAGCATATTATTTACCCATCATTCCCAACAAGGATCAATACTATATCCATAGGGCATTTAGAGATATGTGTTGAGAGTGGGAATTTTTTGCACAAACTATCCCTAGGTTCTTCATAACCTTTTTTTTAGATTCCGTATATATGTCTTAGCATACGGTATTTGTTTTTCTCTTTCTGACTTACTTCACTCTGTATGACAGACTCTATGTCCATCCACCTCACTGCAAATAACTCAGTTTTGTTTCTTTTTATGGTTGAGTAATATTCCATTGTATATATGTGCCATATCTTCTTTATTCATTCATCTGTCGATGGACACTTAGGTTGCTTGCATGTCCTGGATATTGTAAATTGAGCTGCAATGAACATTGTGGTACATGTCTCTTTTTGAATTATGGTTTTCTCAGGATATATGCCCAGTAGTGGGATTTCTGTGTCTTATGGTAGTTCTATTTTTAGTTTTTTAAGGAAGCTTCATACTGTTCTCCATAGTGGCTGTATCAAGTTACATTCCCACCAACAGTGCAAGAGGGTTCCCTTTTCTCCACAACCTCTCCAGCATTTATTGTTTCTAGATTTTTTGATGATGGCCATTCTGACTGGTGTGAGTTGATACATCATTGTAGTTTTGATTTGCATTTCTCTAATGATTAGTGATGTTGAGCACCACCCGCTTATAATACCAGTAGTAACCCCAGTGAGAAATACTGAAGTCTCCAAAACTCAGTCTGAAGGGAGAATGGTAGACATGTCACAGTTTTGTTGGAAGGATTAAAAGAAATAATCCCTGTGAAGTATCTAGCACAGTGTCTGATGCATAGTAGGTAGAAAATTCATAGTAGAAAGTTCATGAATCATAATTTTCTTTCACCCCAATTGACTTCACCTTATAATATCTTTGCTAGTCTCTGCCTGAATACTTTCAAAGGGAGTGTACTTACTGATCTCTGAGAGAGTCCATTCCTTTCATAGAAAGCCTTGACTCTGCAAAAGTTCTTCCTTTTGTTAAACTGAACTCAGTCTCCCTTTGGCCTCCAGAGGTTCTAGTCATTCTCCCTGGGGCCACTCAGAGGAGTCTGCTCATTCTCTTCCATGATAGTTCCTCAGATATCTGAAAACCATAAAACAGATCCCCACTCATCTTTCATTCCCAGGTCAAACAGTGCAGCTCTTTCATCATTTCTCTTATAGCATGCTGTCAAGTCAAATAAGACTCTGAGGCTTTGAGCTATATAAGTTGGGGTGATGGTGGTACCTTCAAAGTGATCAGAAACACTGTAAAAGGAACAGGATGGGTGAATGTGACAAGTTCCTTTGTAAATTATTTCTTAAGTTCCCACTGTGTACCAGGTACTTTCAAATCCATAATCCCACAGACTCCTCACCCCAACTAGGGAGGTCCAGGTCCTCTTGTCTTAATTGTACAGGTAGCCAAATAGTCTCAAAGAAAATGAAACTTGCTAGAGATCATTTAGTTAGTAAGTGTCTGAACAAAACTAGAAACCAGATTTTTGTTACTCCAAGGTCAGTATTGTTTTGTTTTGTTTTGTTTTTTTAATTTTGGCACTAGGCCCTAAATTTGGAGACTTTAGGTTCTAGTCCTGGCTCTGTGCTGACCAACTATGTGAATTGGGGGAAATTTTATCCCTTCTAGAGGGACCTCAGTCTCCCCATATGGATCATCAAGGGAATGAGGTTAGGTTGTCTTGAAGAATCCTTTTGGGATTCCATGAGAATATGTTTTCAATTATCTGATGGTTTGAAGTTTTAGTCAGTTACCAAAGAGCAGAAAAAAAATAAACCATAATGAAATGTGCTGTCGTATGAGTACTGAGGTGTCTGTTACTCTACTTGAGGTGAGTTCAAGTAGATATGGATGGTATTTCTTTATTGGGCAACAGGCACCTAGGACTAAGATGAGTTTTAAGCTCCAATCTAAGATTGTACAATTCTGAAAATTATTTTATAGAATGTGCATTTACATATGCAATCATAGGCTTCTTGTTGTATCAGTTTCATCTTTTCCCCACTACCTCACCATCTTTCTTTTTCTTAGGAAGACTAAAAAATAAAAGGCAAGAAATATTTTGACATCAATATCTCATCCTGTACAGACAGGCTTCATTCTATGGACTGATTCTCCCATTCAGATTGGAAGGATAAGTAGCCCTAAGCTGTGCTTGCAAATGCTTATCAGTTTGTATGTCTGTTTCTTTAGGATATTTCTGGCCTATGAGGAAGGGATAGTGTACATGATAGTGGGAGAAAAGGCACTGTTCTTATTGACATCTTCAGAGAGATAGTTGGTAAACTGGACAGGGTGGAGAGAATGTGGGGCAGGACCAAAGAACATTAATAAAAATCAGAAATGAGAGTACTTGACTGAGTTTTATCCAGCTCCTATCCCTGTAAAGAAATCATACCATTAATCCAGTTTTCAGCTGGGAGAACTCAGTCAAAATCATATCCTCTGTGGAAAGTCACCTAGTACTGCTGGTGATGTAACTAATTTTTGATGATACCACTAATTTCATTGTATCTTGTGGTGGTCAGTACATGAATGTGACTCACTTTGGCTAGGGACACTGTGGAACAATAGAAGGGGTTTTGGGTATTGGTTGTTTGTCCTGTAGCCTCTCTCCAATGTCCTTTGCTCCCAAACTCTGGGTGGAATAGAAACAACACTCATAGCAACCCCTCACATGTGTAGCACAATTTGGAGTTTCCAGAGCACTCTCACATACATTATCTAATTTTTCCCTTGAACATCATCCAGCGTAGTTTCTGTACCTTTGCTCCCACTTGGGAAGACTGTTTCAGCAATCATTAAAGTGTTATTTTCCTCTCATAATCAGCCCAAAGATTGCTGGTCTTAATTATATCACCAT